CTAGCTACTTCTAAAGGTGGTGGTTCTCCCTAGGTGGAGTTTGTTTAGTCCCTGAGTGTTACAGGGAAGAGAAGGGTGTTTGCTCCCATCCTCTCCCTAGCTATACCTCTAAAGGTGGTGGTTCTCCGTCTTCCTAAAGCTGCCACACTTAGTTCCTCATGTTATGCTAACTCCCAACCATAAAACCTTTCCACTGCTGCTTCGTAACTGTAATTTTGCTACTGTCGTGAATCATAATGTAAATATCCCATATGCAGGATGTCTGATACGCGACCTCTGTGGAAGAGTTGTCCGACACCCGGAGAGGTTAACCCACAAGCTGAGAACCACGGTCTCAGGGTTTGGCTGGTTTGGCTGTTTCTTTCCTATGTGGATATGAACAAATGCTATGCTATAACTACAACTCATCCGGGCGGCGGTCAGCTGACCGTGGCTGCCATCAGCTGACACTCTGAAACCAAAGTGGCCGGGTAGCCCTCTTTTCCAGAGCCAAGTGACAGGTTTCATTCTCTCAGGTTTGAGGCTGTGCCCTAAGTTAGACATGTCACACAAAGTGTATAGTGGATCTAGATGAATAAAAATACCATGTAGGTCTCAGCGCACCTAGCGTTATATTAATAAGTGAAGTTGGAAGGATTTTTAGGGAACCGTGATTGTCAAGCAAATCTTGTATTATATTTTACTTAAGTTTATTTTTTAAAACAATCTTTTTTAAAAAAAAAATTTGACATACCAATCCAAGTTCCCACTTTCTCTCCTCCTTCTGCTCCCCCCATATTCCCCCGACCCCATCACCTATCCATTCCTCAGAGAGGGTGAGGCCTCCCATGGGACGTCAGGTTGACAAACAAAGTCTGTCAGGTCACTTGAGGCAGGACCAAGGCCCTCCCCACTGTAACTAGGCTGAGCAAGGTATCCTTCCATAGGGATGGGCACATATTAGAATGAAATAATGCAAAAAAGAAGAAAAACACCTTTTGAGGTATCAGCAGTGATTATTTCAGGGCACCAAGATCATTGGTGGACTTTATAATTTTGTTTCATTTTATTAATTTCCTAAATCTTCTATATTGAACATGTGTTATGTTCAATATTCATTTTTTTGATCATGTGCATTCAGATCATGCACTAGGGATAAAAACTGGTTCCACTGTCAGTGTCCCCACAAACTGCTCAAGTCACACACTGTCACCCACATTCAGGGGGCCTAGGTTCCCCAGTTGTCAGTTTGGAGTCAGTGAGCTCTCACTAGCTCGGGTCAGCAGTCTCTGTGGGTATCCCTAGCATGGTCTTGCCGAGCAAATCTAGTGGTTGTAAACACTGAGCAAAATAACAGTGGCTTTGATCTGCACAAAGAAAAGGGGATAAAGAATAAAAAACCAGAATAAAAAATGCCTCCATACCCACACATGCACATATTAGAATGAAATAATGCAAAAAAGAAGAAAAACACCTTTTGAGGTATCAGCAGTGATTATTTCAGGGCACCAAGATCATTGGTGGACTTTATAATTTTGTTTCATTTTGTTAATTTCCTAAATCTTCTATATTGAACATGTGTTATGTTCAATATTCATTTTTTTGATCATGTGCATTCAGATCATGCACTAGGGATAAAAACTGGTTCCACTGTCAGTGTCCCCACAAACTGCTCAAGTCACACACTGTCACCCACATTCAGGGGGCCTAGGTTCCCCAGTTGTCAGTTTGGAGTCAGTGAGCTCTCACTAGCTCGGGTCAGCAGTCTCTGTGGGTATCCCTAGCATGGTCTTGCCGAGCAAATCTAGTGGTTGTAAACACTGAGCAAAATAACAGTGGCTTTGATCTGCACAAAGAAAAGGGGATAAAGAATAAAAAACCAGAATAAAAAATGCCTCCATACCCACACATGCACATATTAGAATGAAATAATGCAAAAAAGAAGAAAAACACCTTTTGAGGTATCAGCAGTGATTATTTCAGGGCACCAAGATCATTGGTGGACTTTATAATTTTGTTTCATTTTATTAATTTCCTAAATCTTCTATATTGAACATGTGTTATGTTCAATATTCATTTTTTTGATCATGTGCATTCAGATCATGCACTAGGGATAAAAACTGGTTCCACTGTCAGTGTCCCCACAAACTGCTCAAGTCACACACTGTCACCCACATTCAGGGGGCCTAGGTTCCCCAGTTGTCAGTTTGGAGTCAGTGAGCTCTCACTAGCTCGGGTCAGCAGTCTCTGTGGGTATCCCTAGCATGGTCTTGCCGAGCAAATCTAGTGGTTGTAAACACTGAGCAAAATAACAGTGGCTTTGATCTGCACAAAGAAAAGGGGATAAAGAATAAAAAACCAGAATAAAAAATGCCTCCATACCCACACATGCACATATTAGAATGAAATAATGCAAAAAAGAAGAAAAACACCTTTTGAGGTATCAGCAGTGATTATTTCAGGGCACCAAGATCATTGGTGGACTTTATAATTTTGTTTCATTTTATTAATTTCCTAAATCTTCTATATTGAACATGTGTTATGTTCAATATTCATTTTTTTGATCATGTGCATTCAGATCATGCACTAGGGATAAAAACTGGTTCCACTGTCAGTGTCCCCACAAACTGCTCAAGTCACACACTGTCACCCACATTCAGGGGGCCTAGGTTCCCCAGTTGTCAGTTTGGAGTCAGTGAGCTCTCACTAGCTCGGGTCAGCAGTCTCTGTGGGTATCCCTAGCATGGTCTTGCCGAGCAAATCTAGTGGTTGTAAACACTGAGCAAAATAACAGTGGCTTTGATCTGCACAAAGAAAAGGGGATAAAGAATAAAAAACCAGAATAAAAAATGCCTCCATACCCACACATGCACATATTAGAATGAAATAATGCAAAAAAGAAGAAAAACACCTTTTGAGGTATCAGCAGTGATTATTTCAGGGCACCAAGATCATTGGTGGACTTTATAATTTTGTTTCATTTTATTAATTTCCTAAATCTTCTATATTGAACATGTGTTATGTTCAATATTCATTTTTTTGATCATGTGCATTCAGATCATGCACTAGGGATAAAAACTGGTTCCACTGTCAGTGTCCCCACAAACTGCTCAAGTCACACACTGTCACCCACATTCAGGGGGCCTAGGTTCCCCAGTTGTCAGTTTGGAGTCAGTGAGCTCTCACTAGCTCGGGTCAGCAGTCTCTGTGGGTATCCCTAGCATGGTCTTGCCGAGCAAATCTAGTGGTTGTAAACACTGAGCAAAATAACAGTGGCTTTGATCTGCACAAAGAAAAGGGGATAAAGAATAAAAAACCAGAATAAAAAATGCCTCCATACCCACACATGCACATATTAGAATGAAATAATGCAAAAAAGAAGAAAAACACCTTTTGAGGTATCAGCAGTGATTATTTCAGGGCACCAAGATCATTGGTGGACTTTATAATTTTGTTTCATTTTATTAATTTCCTAAATCTTCTATATTGAACATGTGTTATGTTCAATATTCATTTTTTTGATCATGTGCATTCAGATCATGCACTAGGGATAAAAACTGGTTCCACTGTCAGTGTCCCCACAAACTGCTCAAGTCACACACTGTCACCCACATTCAGGGGGCCTAGGTTCCCCAGTTGTCAGTTTGGAGTCAGTGAGCTCTCACTAGCTCGGGTCAGCAGTCTCTGTGGGTATCCCTAGCATGGTCTTGCCGAGCAAATCTAGTGGTTGTAAACACTGAGCAAAATAACAGTGGCTTTGATCTGCACAAAGAAAAGGGGATAAAGAATAAAAAACCAGAATAAAAAATGCCTCCATACCCACACATGCACATATTAGAATGAAATAATGCAAAAAAGAAGAAAAACACCTTTTGAGGTATCAGCAGTGATTATTTCAGGGCACCAAGATCATTGGTGGACTTTATAATTTTGTTTCATTTTATTAATTTCCTAAATCTTCTATATTGAACATGTGTTATGTTCAATATTCATTTTTTTGATCATGTGCATTCAGATCATGCACTAGGGATAAAAACTGGTTCCACTGTCAGTGTCCCCACAAACTGCTCAAGTCACACACTGTCACCCACATTCAGGGGGCCTAGGTTCCCCAGTTGTCAGTTTGGAGTCAGTGAGCTCTCACTAGCTCGGGTCAGCAGTCTCTGTGGGTATCCCTAGCATGGTCTTGCCGAGCAAATCTAGTGGTTGTAAACACTGAGCAAAATAACAGTGGCTTTGATCTGCACAAAGAAAAGGGGATAAAGAATAAAAAACCAGAATAAAAAATGCCTCCATACCCACACATGCACATATTAGAATGAAATAATGCAAAAAAGAAGAAAAACACCTTTTGAGGTATCAGCAGTGATTATTTCAGGGCACCAAGATCATTGGTGGACTTTATAATTTTGTTTCATTTTGTTAATTTCCTAAATCTTCTATATTGAACATGTGTTATTTTTAGAACAAAATCAGCTGCCTCTGTAACTTCCTGCTTTTGAGGATGGTGTTACTGAGCCAGCGGGGGCTGGGTGTGCAGTCCTGTTAAGCATAAAGGCCATGGCAGTGTAGATAACTCTGTTGAGCTAGAGAGAAACTCCTGTAGTGATGGGTGTGGACAGGCAGTCTGCAGTGTAGGGGGTCACGGGGAAGGGTCTTCTGTGTCCTGTGGGGATGGTGTGGACAGGCAGTCTGCAGTGTAGGGGTCACGGGGAAGGGTCTTCTGTGTCCTGTGGGGATGGTGTGGACAGGCAGTCTGCAGTGTAGGGGTCACGGGGAAGGGTCTTCTGTGTCCTGTGGGGATGGTGTGGACAGGCAGTCTGCAGTGTAGGGGTCACGGGGAAGGGTCTTCTGTGTCCTGTGGGGATGGTGTGGACAGTCTGCAGTGTGGGGGTCACGGGGAAGGGTCTTCTGTGTCCTGTGGGGATGGTGTGGACAGGCAGTCTGCAGTGTAGGGGTCACGGGGAAGGGTCTTCTGTGTCCTGTGGGGATGGTGTGGGCAGGCAGTCTGCAGTGTAGGGGGTCATGGGGAAGGGTCTTCTGTGTCCTGTGGGGAGGGTGTGGACAGGCAGTCTGCAGTGTAGGGGTCACGGGGAAGGGTCTTCTGTGTCCTGTGGGGATGGTGTGGACAGGCAGTCTGCAGTGTAGGGTCATGGGGAAGGGTCTACTGTGTCCTGTGGGGATGGTGTGGACAGTCTGCAATGTAGGGGTCATGGGGAAGGGTCTTCTGTGTCCTGTGGGGATGGTGTGGACAGTCTGCAGTGTAGGGGTCACGGGAAGGGTCTTCTGTGTCCTGTGGGGATGGTGTGGACAGTCTGCAGTGTAGGGTCACGGGGAAGGGTCTTCTGTGTCCTGTGGGGATGGTGTGGACAGTCTGCAGTGTAGGGGTCACGGGAAGGGTCTTCTGTGTCTTCAGGGACAGCTGTTGCTCATCACCAATTCACCACTGCAATGTCAAATTTTCGTCAGAGCCGCGATCTCTCATGGTTGTTTGGAAACTGTAACGCTATAAATGGATTATTACTTTTTAAAGCATCAACACTGTTTCTGCCAAGTCAAAATATCTACAAAATATCCACAGGACGTGAGTTTAAACTTTTGTTTAGGTGTTTGGGTTTATAATTTGGTACCCTGGCTTACAGTGCTTCTGTATGGATACTGGCAAATAAATAAAAATACAGTAACATGTGTGAACTATAGAGAGAAACTTCTCACTGCCTGGAGGTACACAAACTCTGGCCTTCTAATGCCTAGTCCCTTGTCCCCAAAGAGCTAAAATGGTCAAGGGCTAAGAACTGTATCAGACATCCCTGTAAGGCCACAATCTTCTCTGTATAGAAAGCAGGGAGCAGGCTGAGGGTGTGGCTTGCTGGCAGAATGGGGAACAGCGGTGTGTGGAGTCCCCGGAGGAAGCAGGGCGGGAGCTGGCTGGGCTGGAGGACCTGATGGGCTGATGTAAGTTCTGAAGATCACCAACTTAAGGTCTTCGTTTCCTTTGACTTGGCACGGGCCCTGGTTTAGAAAAATGCCCAGTAGTGTTTGTTGGCTGATTCAAATGCAATCCAGAGCTCTGACTCAGATCGGAGGGAGCCGGCCTGGAGTCTCTGCCACTTTTTGAGAATGAAGGAGGGTTTTCCTTTCCTGTGCACTGTGCGCCTTTCCCTCTGACCTTCTTCCCCTCCAGGCTCCGGAGAATTTCCCAACTCCGGAGGGTCACGCTGTTTTCCTATAACTTTCAACACTTCAGTCTGCCTCCTTCTCGCTCTTCCTCCCTTCTCCCCGCCCTGGCCAAACCCGGCTCCCCCCCCCCCCCCCCCCCCCCCCCCCCCCCCCCCCCCCCCCCCCCCCCCCCCCCCCCCGCCCCNCCCTTCCTCCCTTCTCCCCACCCTTCCCCGACCCAGAACGCCCCCTCCCCTTCTTTTTCTTTTTCTTCTCGTTTGGTAAACGCTCATTAGTTAACCGAGAGCGAGCGCACCAAGAGTCCTGGACTTCCGCATTCCTCTGGAATCTTATCTGCCTTCGCCGCCTGCGGCGTGTGCCTTCTGTGTTCTCAGCTCCTGTTGCTCAACGCCCTCCCCTGCGCCAGGGTTGGGAAACCCTTCAAGCTGGGCAGTTAGGAAACACGGGCTTTCAGCAGTCATTGCCCTGGGGTGGAAGAAGCTCTCAACAATTAGGCGATTCAGACTATTAGTGTGGACCGTGAGAAGCCAGTGATTCTAACAACCGGGTAACAAGTCGTTTAGCAACAAAATTAGAAGAGGAACATGGAGTGGTCAGTTGGTGACTCATTAAAATGCAATTTCTGGTGGTGCATTACTATTTTAGACACATAATTCTAGAGGTGTTCAAAAGATTGCAGACAGTCGCTACAGTAAAAGTCCCGTTCAACCTGCTCATTTAGGTGGATAAGCTCTTTTCAGGACTCACTTTTAAAAAGGAGCAAAATGGGTGGTGGTGGCGTACGCCTTTAATCCCAGCACTTTGGAGACAGAGGCAGGAGGATCTCTGTGAGTTTGAGGCCAACCTGGTCTACCAGAGCTGATTCCAGGACAGGCTCCAAAGTTACAGAGAAACCTTGTCTCAAAAAACCAAAAAAA